ATCAAAATGCTCACGAAGCCAGGCACAGCTTGGAACAAACTAGCCTTGGATAGCATTAGAGGACTAGCTCCGATACCTACATCAACAAACATGTCAGGTCTTTTCTGGGTGATGAACAAGGAATGGACACCCAACACAGGACGCAGAAACCGCCGACAAGGAAACAACCGCCCGGAGAACAGACCCCCCACACCCTACTGGACGTCCCTGCTAAGGATTTGGAGGGAAATCATGCCAAAAAAAGTCGGCAGGCCCAAGACGAGAGAAGACGTACTGAGGCAACCCCTTTTTGGCAACCCATGGTTGACAGATGAAAGCGATCACCCCTTCTCTCTCAAGGTCAGAGGCACACGTTGGCTATCCTGGATAAAGAACGGAGTCTGGAAAATCGAACACTTGCAGCCATCCTGAAGGGCTGTCACCAACGAGAGAGGAATCTACAGGCCATGACCAGCAGCATTCCGGAAGGGTGGAAAGAGCTTTTAAAGAGCCCAACAACATGGAAAACAGGGGAATGGGGGTTTAGGCTTCAGGACACGCCCCCTTCAAGGGCCTATCAATTCTCACACAAACAACAGGGCTCAAACACTGTCGCAATTTTTACCTTCTATCCAAAATCGCTGTCGGTACATGGTTCGGCCTCCATCATAGAAAAGGATGTAGTAAGAACAAATCTAGAGATCTTTCTGCTCAGGAAGGTGAGAGTGATGGGCTCCTGGCCCAAATCAATCTTTAAGGTGGACACAGCGATCCAAGATTTGGAGTTCGACCCAGCAGAATGGGCATGGACATCAGGAGGGAACAAGTACACGAAAACAGAAATACAAGACTACTCTGTGGAGATGGGGTACAGATTATTCATCAAAACCAAAAATCCGGAACCAGTAATCAAAAGCAGATGGACAAAATTAATCGGTCAAGAGGCAGACCAAATCACTCAGATTCCATGGAAGAAATATAAATCAATCAAGCCGGTCAAAATCAGGAGTCTACAATGGCTGATAGCCTATGTAGCGCTTCCGGTCAACCAGTGGCTCCACATTCGCAGAAGGAAGAATGATCCCAACAGCTCCGACCTATGCACAATATGCTCAGAAATTGAACCAGAAGACCTACTTCACTGCCTAATCCGATGCGAAGAAGCAACAGAATACTGGGCGAGGGCGACGGGTCTCTGGGACTCCCTGTTCACTAAGTCATTCCCTGAACACCCCATCCAACTTCTACTGTGGACTAATATCCCGACTGACCTCAACAGCTCAGAGAAGAAATGGTACGGTATGATCAGGAAAGTCACGCTGTGGACTATATGGAAGGAGAGATGTAGCAGAACGATTGAAGGWTTATCGAYGCCAAGAGMAAAGGTGTGGACAGAAACCAGGACACTGATCCAGGCGGAGATCTTATGCAGATGGCACAGATTGAAACAGACACTCCCTGAGGACGATGAGAGAAAGAACACCATCCTTTCCAAGTTTGTCAAAGTGTGGCTGGTGGGAGGAAAAGTGGCGGAGCTAAGAGACGACAGAATGTGCTGGAAAGACTGGCACAACTCGGAAATCAGCTGGAGAAGCCCACTTCAAGAAGCTGCGGGCTGCCCGCAGGACCCATAGGCAACATAAGGACAGATACATGAGTCACAAGACAAAAACGGTGGTTGGGATAGCAACTTACAGCCCGTTCTCCGCTCTCCTTGTTTTCTAAAGTTTATTTGGCAGATGCCCACAGAGGGATCTGAGAGGGATTGCAGGGGAAGGCAAGCTGACAGTCAATCCTCCTAGTGGGAGTAATCAATGCTGGTCAGGGTTCCTTCGGCCAAACGGAAGGAAGCGTGAGTGGGTCGATGATGTATTCATTTTTGACTTGCCGGGGGAATAGTAACCGGACTGACGCTCCCCAGAATGGATAAGGAGCCAGGACCATAAGGGCCTGTTTGTACTAAAAAAAAAAAGAAAAAAAAAAAAGAGAGAGAAGAGAAAAGAAAAAGGAAAAACTTAAAAAAAGGGCCAAACAGTTCGTCTGGCGAAAAATAGCACCACTTCCCAGTCTCACTGTGACATCACGCCCAGAACACTGCGCCCTTTCGAGCGTTGTTATATTCACAGATAGTTGTTTCTATAAAGTGGTCGAGTTCACTTTTATGCCGAAGGGCCTGGCGGCACCGATGGTTGCCTCTTCAAACTCTCCAAGGAAAACTCAGAAAAACGCTCAAACGGCGTCCTGCCAGCGAAAAAGAGGTACCATCAGTCTACGAGTCTTGCAGGTCAGTGTTACGGGAGGCCCTCTTGTGATAAAAGTGTGTAGGATGCCCCTAAAAGCATGTTAGTTCTCTCTCTTTCTCTCTCTCTCTCTCTCTCTCTCTCTCTCTCTCTCTGGACCTCTCTCTCTCTCTGTGTCTCTTTCTCTTCCACCCCTCCACCCATTCTTTCTCCCTCCTCCTCCTCCCTCTCTCTCTCTCGCACACTCTCTTGCTCTCTCTCTCTGTTGCAATCATGGTTCGTACGGGTTCTTACTGCGGCTTCTCCATTTCCTGATATTCTTCCTGCAATCATGTTCTTTTATTTCTGTCCTCTTACTTGCCTGCTGCGCCAGTGAATTGCCTAAACCATCCAATTCTGCACTCAGACATCACCATCAACTTTGTTGTTTGGTCTGCTATATTTTGATCCCACACCCAGCCTCCTCCTCTCTCTCCCAGTTTCGGTTAAGTGGAGCCGCACTGGCCCTTCTTGTCCCCATGTTAACCTTACACTGTCTACCAGTAAATGTCGGCTGGTGTAACCCGCGCCGGAGAGATGGTGGAAAGACCCAACCACGGCGGCGGACATTTTTGAGAACGAAAGTTTCACAAAGCAACGAGTTTAGAAATCCAAACTTCACAAATGAAGTGGGAACGGGTCACAAACAAAGGATAATAGCCTCAGTTGGCGAGGATCACAGTCTCAAGGAACCCCAGAGGCCGGGTGCAGCAAACCGTCGATCGAGTCTAGTCTCCGTGCCGCTTCGGCCTCCTCCCGGCCCCGCTTCCCCTTGTCCCCCTATTTTTCTCTGCCCGGAGGAGTCTTGAGGGCCGAGACACTCATTCACTGGCCTCTCTCTCTCTCTCTCTCTCTCTCTCTCTCTCTCTCTCTCTC